TTACCAAAATTAGAACTTTCATCTTCACTAGGCCTCCACACTTACAGCTGTAGCAGTCACTATGCATACATGTCACAAGAATAAGTTCACATAGCCTATTTTTCCCTTAGCTCAATTGTTAATGGCTGACAACAATGGTGAGTTTACGCAACAGGACGGCGGGAAGAAGAGGACGGCAAAACGCTTGTGTGTGACAAACATGACAGGGCTATCACTTGCGTGTTTTGTCGTGATCTTCACTGAGGTTTTCTGATCTTTACGAAAATGCCTGTTTAAAGGAAAATGAAGTTTGGCGAAAAGTTATTTCAAACAAAATTAATGTCACGCTTGTCACACAAGGCCTGGCGTCTTCTTTCCTCCCCTGTACTGTTGCGTGATTCACTAATGGTGAACTCATTTGTGAACACAGAAACGTATACAAACACAACAGTACAACACTGCGCGTTCACTGCGACGATCATTTCTTCATTTTCATTTCATTTCCGCAGTTCATATATGATTTATTTCATATATCATTAACACTCATTTCTTTCATGGGAGCATATGAACCCACAATTGACCTGCTCCCAAGTGGCTTCATAGCTCAGTTGGTAGAGCATCGCACCGGTAAATCGCGAGGTCACGGGTTCAAACCCCGTTGAAGTCCTGAATTTTTTTCAGGCTTCTTTACGTAATTGCATAAATTGCGTTCACTGCGACGATCATTTCTTCATTTTCAAGCAGCCATGTGTAACTCATTCGTAAAACTACTTTATATAAAAATCCGGCCCCTTGTGGACTAGGCCCTTGGGTCACATTCTCCAACAAGGGTATAGACGCTATAAAGCTTTCTTTGCAATATAGTCTCTGGGGAACCATGAATTTGTCCAGGAAGCCTCTATTAGATACAAAGTAGTCTTCTTATTTGCGGACTTACCATTAACAAATTGCTCGCCATTGATTGGTTTCAACTGCACAAGAACTGCAATTCAACATAACAGGAAAAACTTTAATTGCACTGATTCGGTATCAGGGACATTTATGCATATGTGAAATTTGGAATCCTGGGCTTTGTAATCTGAAATTCAACTAAAGGAATCCGGAATCCCGCAAACATTTGGAATCTTCAGTTTCAGTTTTGACTGGCAAAGAATCCGGAATCCACTACCTGGCCAAGACTACCTTGGTTTACTTCACTGATATGGGTCGATGAAAAGGACACTAAATTCAGAGGCTTGTAAATTCGGGGGAGTGGTGAAACCTTTGGCATGGCGTATTCACAAATTTTTAACGAGTTTGTTTCTTTAACTTTGTCAACGAACTCGAGCGGAAACGCTTGCCACCCAGGAGTTTTGTTTGTTTGTTTGTTTAATCTTTTCTTCTCTTTTTTTATTCAACATGTTGTGTTTGACTAACCCGCAGTGGTCTCAAAACATCTCCTATGAACAATGTGTTATGACCGTTTTAGACCGGGGGCTTTTGAATTTGATTTATATTCCGCGTGACTTGAGGAACCTGACATTAGTGTGTGACATACGGTTTTTTTATCACGGTTTTGTAACAGACGGTTTTGTGTCCACTGGCGCCCTTTTTTAAAATATGTACATATTTCATGTCGAGTAGTAATTTCTAATCTCTTAACATTTTCACTGAATATACTACTCTATTTAATAAAGAATAATACGAGAATAGACAAGGACACATAATATTCATAATTCTTGACAGGAAGAGCAACTGAAATGATGTACCGAAATGACCGCCAAAAGTGTACAATTGATGTCAAATATTCAAATTATATTGCCTGTCTCTTGGTGTCACTCACGTAGCTGCCATTTGAACCCTTTTTATGGAGAACTGATTTTAAGTCAAGCATCACGCACGTTTAACAGGATTCTGCTCTCTTATATTTCGTTGTGCAATTCAGCATACGCTTTATATCATGGTCGTACCCGTAAGATGTGAAAACCCATAAAGTTTATACGCGTAGAATGTGAATTTCTTATAGACTCAAAACGTAGACAAATATATAACTCAGTTGGCTTCCTTTCACTAAATTCCAAAATATTTTATAGTACTCGGACCAGCCTTGTTTAAAGCTTTATGTCAGGGCTTGCTGATACTTAATACAAACTATGACATTTAGGAACCTATCTTACCTGTACAGAGAACTAATGTGAGGTAAATCAGAAACATTTTGTGACATCGGAACGGAATAAACAGAAGAAATTCCGCCAATCGATCTCTGGTGTCTTGTATGTCGAGTAACAGGAAGACCGTAATTGAATACCGAACAGTGTTTAATAGCTAGTCAAGTAACGCAACTCTTATATCTGTACGGCCGTTACGATCACTTCGCTCTGGTACGGTGGCCCACAACTGTCACGGCAAAAACAAAAACCTCAAGGCAAAAACAAAATACTTCACGGCAAAACCGAAAACCTCACGGCAAAAACAAAATACCTCACGACAAAACCAAAACCCTCACGGCAAAACCAAAGACCTCACGGCAAAACCAAATACTTCACATCAAAAACCAAATACCTCACGGCAAAAGCAAATACTTCACAGCAAAAACCAAATACCTCACGGCAAAAGCAAATACCCACGGCAAAACCAAAGCTATTTTGTTTTTGCTGTGAAGTATTTGGTTTTGCGGTGAGGTATTTTGTTTTTGCCGTGAGGTTTTTGGTTTTGCCGTGAGGTATTTTGTTTTTGCCCTGAGGTTTTTGGTTTTGACGTGACGTTTTTTGTTTTGCCGTGAGGTTTTTGGTTTTGCCGTGAGGCTTATGGTTTTGCCGTGAGGTTTTTGGTTTTGCCGTGACAGTTGTGGGCCACCATACTCTAGGTTCTCAGTGCAGTTTGCTGGGATTAGAATGAGCGGTACAGAACAAGTTTTCCAACAGAAACTTGTCCGATTTTTTTGTCAAATTTTTTTGGTCCAATTTTTTTGTCCGATTATTTGTTCGATTATTTGCTCGATTATTTGTCTGATCTTTTTGTTCGATTTTTTTGTCGGATTATTTGTCCGATTATTTGCTCGAATGTTTTTCCGATCTTTTAGTCCGATTTTTTTGTTCGATTATTTGACTTGTGTCCGATTTTTTTTGTATGATTATTTGTCCGATTATTTGTCCGATTACAGCCGTTTCTCCTCGCTCTTCGCCGCAGAGGGCGTTTCGCGCGGAGGTTCCGCCTCGCGAAACGTCCCCAGCGTCGAGGAGCGTGGAGAAACGGATGTTCTCGAAGGCTATCCGATTTTTTGTCCGGTTTATTGCCCGATTATTTGTCCATAATTTTTGTCCGAGTATTTGTCTGATTTTTTTGTCTGATATTTTGTCCGGTTATTTGTCTGATTTTTTTATCTGATTTTATGTCCCATTATTTGTCCGATTTTTTTGTCTGATAATTTTGTCTTGATCATTTGTCCGATTAAGCGTAAAACTGAGTTGATGTCATTCCTCGGATTTTAGTTTTTAGGAATTATTTTAATTTTTGCAAACTTTACTTTCAGTTTAGCCGGAGGTTTTGACGATGGCACTGGGAGAATTATGTTTCCCCCAGACAATCGGACTTATATTTTTGTTGCGCGTCAGAGTGGTAACAAAACACTGGGGTGTTCACATGAGAAAACTCGCACCGGCTCGAGTCTCATACCGGGATGACTTTTTGATTTCGTATCGGGTTTACATTATGACCGAGTCATTTCATATCTCGTTATTTGAAGGTGCACGTGTGATTCAAAATCGCAAACATTACGCATGCGCTACCCGTTCCAGTGTTTCACACCGAAACGGGTGGTCGTTTCGCGTTTACATGATACCGCTGCCAGATTTCGTACCGGAGTGAAATTCTCGCCCCGGTACAAGAACCGGGGTGAACTCACGCCGGGGTGACTTGCGCCGGCATAACATTTTGTGGTGGTATCATTTAAACAAATATGGAGCCATCAGAGGGAACCGGAGTGTACTCGCTCCGGGGCGAAAGTCGTCCCGGTGTCATGTAGACACCCCCTAAAAATACACGCCGTTCGCCACAAAGGTATTGCTGAAGTTTTGTGTGTAAGTTTAAGATCATCATGAAGCATTGTAGTGTAAGGCGTTTTGATAGTATCAAAACTGATGCAAAATAAAAGTCAAGGACAAAATCAAATATTTGCAGTAATTGGATGTGCAGAAGCTACAACCAAAGGTAGATGTTTTGAACAGACATCTTTTAAACAACAGAGATATTCTATCCTTTTGTTATTTAAACAAAATAAAAAATATCTATTGCCGTTCAGAGATGGGACATCTGCTTGACACCAAATTCGTGTCATTAGAACGTTTATGTTGATCACTGTTTGTAAATGACTAAGTTCGCAGTGTAAATCTAAAATCTGCAAGACGTTTTAAAGGGGAATCTTGAAATATCATGTACATCTCGATAAAATATCCCTTAATTTCTAAGCAAATCTAACGCATGTAAGTAAATCTATAATTTAAAACTTCTCCGTCGTTTGAATTGTTATTGTTAATACTAGTTAGGCATTTTCAAATTGCTTCCGTTACATGGACACAGTCCTTCCAACCTTTTCCCAGTAGGTGCTTATATGTTTGATTATTCATAGAATGAAAACAAAAGTTAAATCGAAAAAACTGTTTTGATTTCAGTTTTTCGACTCTAGGTTGCAACAAACTGTGTGTCTTTTCTTATTTGACCTGCTACTGAACTTAACACACGGGCTACTGACACAGGCTTCTTTTACTGTTTCTCCTCACCAACGGTTTAAGGCACAGATGAAAACCGTAACACATTGAGCTTACAAGAGGGAAGACGGAAATTATTCATTGTGTCTGACATTTTACAAAAATGCCGATTTGTTTTGTTTTGTTTCAATCAGCTAAGCTAGTTTTCCTGCAAACGCTTCCTTTTTGTTTTCCACCAAAATAATTTTCTATGAATTTCGGAACATTGTTCAAACGTTACAAAACAGCGCCCATGCAAGACCTCTAAACACTTATTCGACAAATATTTAATCCAGAATGGTGTTTTTACAAGTTATTGCAGTGATCCATGCACTTTTCGATGTGGTCGGCCTTCCTGGTAATTTGCTGGTGATCTTGACGATATCTTTCGAAAGGAGATTGCACGTGATGCGATACATTTTCCTTGCCAGTCTCGCCGTGTCCGACTTTCTGAATCTAATTCTCGATAACTCGTTTCGCATCGCAAGCATAGCACAAGAAAAATGGCTATACGGCCAGACAATGTGTTATCTCAATCCATGCTTTCATCGCTACTTTTACATCAACACGATTCTTCACCTGGTGGCAGTGTCTTACGATCGGTACAAGGCAATCGTCAAATCGCCTTTAACGTACGATGGCACGATTACTATACGCAACGCGCTGTTCATGTCCCTCATCTGGCTCATCCCAATTCCAGTGTCCATGGGTCCGATTTTTGGTTACGGCTTGCAGAACGTCTATAATCCAGAGGTGTTTCGCTGTGAAAATGGATGGCTTTCTCAGAGGGATAAATCTGATACAAGGAATGGGTTGATCTACTTGTCTTCCTTCATTGTGCCATTTTTGGTAATTTTCTTACTAAACTGGTCGGTTTACAACACGGCAAAAATGCAAATAAACGCCTTGGCACAAGAAACCCAGCTAGGAGGTTTTGACGATTCTGCTGAAAACCTTGAAAACAATCAACAAGAACTTATAAGAAAAAGAAAAGAAAGAAAGGCGTCCGTTGATGTCGTTGTTATTATTGCTGCGTTTCTGTTTTGCTTTTTTCCACTATGGGTTGTTAATTTACTCCGTAAGTATGCGACAAGCATTCACGTCCCACCCTATCTGATTCTTGGTGCAAAGTGCATGTATGTTGTCAGTTCGGTGTGCAACACGATTATCTATTCTATTCGGAAGAGGGAATTTCGCGCTGCGGTTAAGCAAATGTTTAGTCGGCTAGGGCTCATTGGAAGCTCACAAAACGACAATGACGTCTTTGCGATTGACATGAACAATTTGAGGAACAGGGACACTAACAGCAAAAGTCCTCCAGCATGTACATCTCCGCGATCAGCGGCCTGCTCGTTGGGACTCGTCGTAAAAAGTCAGGACAAAAGTCGGGGCGTGGACAATAGAGAAACAGAAGTTAACTTTCAACGAGCTCTTAATACGATCCCAGAGATTGATGGATACTAACTGACTGTGACTGGTTGAATCGGCACTTATTAAGTTTATTCAGAAAGGACTAGATGGTCGCGATTTTCTTTTAGTGTTGAAAAATATTTAGCTCTAAGCAGGCAGCATGAAATGTTCTGTTTACTCTCTTTATTATGTAACCACCAATAAAACCAGGCAATAGAATGACATCATGGCGTCCAAAATATTTCATTGTGGGTCATTGTGGCCGGTATTGAAAATAACCCGGGGGTACTCCGGATTTTAAGTGACAAGGATGATTGAATGCAGGGGGCAAAAATCAAAACCCCACAAAATCCCCCCTGGACCAGATAATTAACCCCCAAAAAATCCCATGCCAAGTTTCCAAGCCTTAAAAATTTCAAGTAAGTATGTATCATGATATAACACGATTAAAAACGATTATGCGCAGAACTATGGTACGCGACGGGGATGTGCAGGCACCACCACGAAACTTCAGATTGTTTTGAAAACCCAAGAAAATATCTACTCAAATCCTTCCACCCCAAAAATACTTGCTAAAATTTCTTGCCTAATCGAAAATTTCAAACCCCAAGAAATCCTTCAATCATCCCTGTCACTTGAAATCCGGAGTACCCTCCCTGGAAACATTACTGTAACGCTATCATCAATTCTTGATAGTGTCCAATCGGTACTGTATCAGTATGCATGCTTAAAAATTCTAACTTTATTACCGAATTGTCACTAGAGCACCAACAACCTTTTCAGTTCTTGTTTTATTGTTTCATTTTTTAAATTTCGTATCAGCTAACTCTCATGTCAAATGGCGCACAATCTTGGCTCACAACATAAGTCATTAACAAAAAACAAAAATTTCCTTTTAAAACTGAATGCTAAAACAAAGAAGAATTTTCGGTATATATTTTGTGTCAAATCCACACAAACGGTTTCGTTAACCGACAAGTGATGGTTCATTTATGGTTACTTTTCATTTCAGTAAGATATTTTTAGGCTGATGACTTTCACTTCCATTTTTTTCTCTAGTAATTAGCAACAAAGCTTCACCAAAACGAGCTACACCCGATCCTATTCCATTATTAGTCCTTTGCCGATTGATACCCTCTTGAAAACGTTTGAATACTTATTGGGAAAAACGAAATAGAGCTGCATCTGTTCAAGTTCGATTCCTTCCTATAAATAACTTAAAAGCATTAGTTTAATTTCTGCTATAATTTTCTGTAACAACAAACAGTTATCAAGACATTTCTTATCAGTGTACCTTATACAAAAAAACAAAATTTTAACGATATTTTTTTCATCTATGAAAAAAAGTGCAGATAGTGAGGCTGCGATATTTTTGGAGTATAACATATGTTACGGAAATGGTTGAGAATATTTTACGTGCAGCCCTTGAATAAAATAACACAAGTATACCAATAAGCAGTGTACAAATACTGAAATTCCCAAACCAACAATTATTATCCAAAATAATTTTATCATAGCCTTTTATGGGGCAATATGAGATTGACTTGGAGACAAAATAATGGGATAGGAAAATGTAGGTAAAAAATAAATAAATAACTATAATAGAGAGAAATGAAAATGCGATTTTTGGAGGTTTCTCTTTATATTTCTTAGTTTCTTTCTTTCTTTCTTTATTGTCTTTCTTTATTGCTGTTATTACTTTTTACAAAAGGAACATAATTACAAGCAAATATAGGGAAAAATAGAAAGCTATCCAGATCCTGTTTTCTGCTTATCTCGCACTTTCAGTGATTTCGGCTTGCCTGATGCGGATCAGATGAAATAGTTTTGTAACTGTAAACGGTGTGCAAAACACCGGCATGACTTTTAAATCTCGAAAAGATACTTTTTTTCCCCCGATATTTTCTATTGTGGATTTGCATTGGGACTTTAACAGCTTTCGATACTGCAGGTGGCCCAAGCTTGAATAAGCGTCCCTGCATTGAGTGTGGCGGTCACTGCATACCATTAAAAATTATGGAAAAACTATAGTCATTACAATGGAACACGAAACGACACATTAGGGAAAGAGACATAGAAAGTTGTAACTGTGAAAGGTTTGAACCCACGAGTCATCTCATAAGTAAGTTGAACATGATCGTCCGGGTGAAAGTAATTCTAAAAAGGACTGTTGTTGACAGTGACTTTCTACTACAGTCAGAAGTGGTTTTGTCTATGTTTCCGGTAAGATCGTCTCTATAAGAGTAAAGAATTGGCAAAAATAGTTTGGTAGCGTCGTGGCATATAAAAAAGGAAAAGACTTCACTTCCGGTAGACGTCCGCCGCTCAAAAACGCCTTTAAATTTTTGAGAGACGCATGTCAGTCTACCGGAAGTGAGAACTTTTCCCTTTCAACATGTTTTGACGCTATAAAATTTGTATTACTTGGTTTCTTCACCCTTGTAGACACGATTTAACTGAAAATCTGGGCAAAGCCACTGCTCAGGAACGTAAAAAGTCCTCTTCCGGTTGACATGCGTCACTCAAAAACGCCTTTGATAAAATTTTTGGGATCAATTTAGGTTTCTGGGAAACTACCTACTTACCCCTCCCCTAAGCTAACGTTAACTCTTACTTCTCCCTTAGGGCAAAATGATGACTTAGGGGAGGGGTAGGTGCGCAGTTTCTCAGAAAACTCCCCACTGCGGGAGTGCTTATTCGTGATAGGGCTCCCTGTGCAGAGGTTTGAACATTCTTTGTTTTCAAGCGGATATTAGAGACCTTGAGATCCAAGTTTGGCCATCTTACCACAAATGCCAGCAAACTGCGGTTTGCGGTTTCACGTTAGCCGTCTGCCCATATTTGGTACTAAAGATTCGCGGATGGTAGGTTTTCGTTCAGTCATTCGTTGACTTCTGATTTAGCTGAGAAATCGTCTTCAAAATGACGTTTCGATGAAATAGGATTCGATAATTAATAAGCCAAATAGTTCATAAAAGTATTATAAACGTGGGATTTTGATGCTTTTGGTTGCAAAAAACCCTTGTGGTAAATCTCTTCCCTCAACAGCGTAGTGTAGCCGTAAAAACCTGCACGCACCTAACAGCAAGGCATGTCTAGTCATTTGAATTCTTAACGTTCGCAGTCTACGGGAACTACCAAAAAACCTCGATCTTAAGGTCTCTAATAGCATAGTTTAACGTCAGATATAACAGCTAGCGCCCTCTGACTTTCAGCTCGGTCAACTTAGTCAACCTTTCTAGCCTTTCTATTCTCTTCTGTTTTAACGCCAACCTTCAACTGGCTTCCGGGTTACACTTGCAGTAATGTCACCATGTTTAAAAAAGAATTTTTAGTATTCGTGGTATTTTTATCTTCTAAACAAAAGCACCACGAAATGACTCTTCCACAATGTTCTTTCGCCACCACTTTTAGGGGACACAGACGAGGTTTAGACCCAAGGGGTACTCAGAAAAGTTTAAACGGGGAGGCTCCGCCCCGTGGTCCAACCCCTTACCGTTCTATATCCATTTTCTGAATCAGATACCTGCGTGATTCGGGCAGCTTTCGGGCGGAGCTTCCCCGTATGGGCCATTATAAGGAGTACCCCCTCCCCGCTCAGGGATCGAGACCTGTGACGAGGGATAGCAGGACAATGTAACCGGGCGGACTTAATGTGAACAGGATAGGTTTTACTCCATGTCGTCCTCGTTATTGTTACCGCTTCTGGATATTTTTTGTCTGTAATGCAGCATAGCTATCTCTTCTCTGTTAGTTGCTGCGTCCAGAGATTGTTTCCTTCGTCGATGGCGGATCCGAGCCATTTTCAGAAGAATCAACACGACGATGAATATTGCAAAACAGACAAAGCAAGTTGTAATGACAGCGATAGCTACATGGTTGTAATCTGTCGAGAAAGTTAGAGAGAATGTTAGTTCTCACAACAGCTATAAAGTAAATCGCATTTACAGTGTACTAGTATTCTGTTAAAAACGTTGCGTTCTGATCTGATATATACTAAAGTTGTGAAAAAAAGGAGAGCTGGGTTATATGCCCATATATACTGGGGGCCCGGGGGGTATTCCCTTATATAAGCTATATAGGTATGTGCCGCCCCATCCGGTAGGGTTTTTGCGCCGTTTTGGTCTGAAAACGGGTATGGTTTTCAAGGGAACAACGGGAGTGTATGAACGTATTTATCGTTTCAATTCCAAATGAGTAAGCAAGAAAGAGAAATATGCGAATTCAAACGAATTTGAGGAATTGTTTTTTTTTTTTTTTTGAGCTCTAATCTAAGTAATTGATGCTAACGTAATTTCTGCTTAAAGGCCAGGTCTGAAAACGGGTGTGGATTTTAGAGGTCTAGTCTGAAAACGGGTCCGGAAAATGACATTTTTTGTCTGAAATAGGGTCAGGGTTTAAAGAACCGGGCTGCACACCCTCACCAGGAATTCCCAGGAGTATCCCCCCCGGGACTGGGGGAATAATCATAAAAGGTTGTTCTAAGTCTAGTTGTTCAGGGTGCAAGATAAATTTTAGTCTCCAACATCAGGTGAAACATCTTAAGAAAATGGACTCGCTAGTTAAATAAATTATTGCCTTCCACATTGCAAGCTGAAAAAAAGAGAAAATGTTGACAAAACCTATGAAATTTAGTTAATGAGGTTAAGCTACCAGCGTGAAAAGACTCGAAACCTTGTTATTAACCCGGCTGCCCTCGGTAAGGGCGGCACGCGCGCCCGAAGCGCGCGCTCAGTGGATCACTATGGGTAGAAAATTTGGTCATCTATGCATCCAAGAAATTTTGGTTGTAAAAAAATCGTCAGTCCGTGCGTACATCATCCCTTTCATATTAGTGGCCTTGGATAAATACAGTTAAGTATATTATTGAACGGAAGAAACATTTTCACGCGGCAAAGCAGCTTACTTGATCGCGCGACTTTTCGTATACCAGTTAAAGATAATTTAAGGAACTGATACCTTCCGGGGCCGCTACTCCCACGTGATCTGTATTCTGACAAACTGTTATGTTGTAGCTTGTGACACCATGTTTATTCATTGCGTGACAAGTGTACACCCCAAAATCATCCGATGAGGAAATAGGTACATTTAGAACGCCACTGGTGCTCCCATTGGAAACTACTCTTCCACCTTTTGTCCATTTGAAAACAGTAATTTCGCCGTCGGACGCGTGACAAAACAGTGTTATAGTATGGCCGGTCTGTGACGTTATACATCCGGGATTTTGAGAACTCATCCAAATTTGATAGGTTGTAAAATCTAAAATATTAAACAAGAAGATTTGACTTTTTTGTCTTTTTGTTTTTGTTTTTTTTTTCCATGCAATGTTTAACTAGCTGGGATGTTTAATCCCAGTTTAGAACTCGAGGCCGAGTTGCAGACTTTTGTTTTTGTTTTTTGTATACTGTTTCTAACGAATGTTATACTACCCGCTAAGTTTCAGCCTATAAACTGTTCCCCTAGCACCTGAGTCCTCTAAATCTGTTTTCAAGTATTGCACATACTCTGTAACTGGTTGTTTTAAACAGGCGCTGAGGACTGGGTCAGTGTAGTGTAGAATTGCATTATGGGATTGTTTGTCACGCCATCATTTCTTTTGTTGGCAAAAATGAGGTTGCGCAGGATACTGGGTCCAAGTTTGTTCCCGAAACCAGTCCCACAGTGCAATTCGACACAACACACACCCAGTCTCACTCGCTACCTCAAAATTGCCATTATCAGGAATATTATTGGTTTGCAACCACGTGACAAGGCGGCCATGCCATGGTAGTCAATACAGTAAGATTCTTTTCCAAGTATTTACATGAAAATGGGTTTTAGTTCCCAGAGGAGAGACCAACAACATGGCTTCCGTGACCTCACCTGCAAACCCACAATAATCTGATTGGATAGTTTAAAGGAATCCTTTACAGCAAACGGTTAGCGAAATGATATCTTCACTTTTCTCATTATTTTCGCAAATTTTCTTTCGTTTGCATGACCATAACAACTACACTACGAGCAGTCTCGTATTTTGCGTTGCAAGGCTACTTCACACGTAACCCATGCTCGCGAGCGGCGAAGCTAGAAAAGGCAAGCAGTCTAAGGTTACTAGAAAAATTAACGTCCGTATTAACTCATCTTGACAGGCAGAAAAAAAGAGTATTATTGTCAATTATTTCAGCAATGCTATCAAACTGTAGATGGTGCGTTTTTGATGCTATTGATTTCAGCTGAAGTTTGACCGAAAGGCTCAAACAAAATATTGACCATCCTGCACTGTACACTAAGCTCCAGACCCCAGAGAAGAAACTGCAACTCGGCCCTCTCTTGCAACTGGTCCTTCCACTAAACGAACTCAAATTGAATTTTAATTGCACTTTTCACTTGTGTTAACTGAAAGTGTTAACCATTGAGGATTTTGAATTGATTGAATTTTCTATTTTAGCTGAAGTTTGACCGAAAGGCTGACAAACGTATTAACAAAATATTGACTTACTTTTGCCTTCTGGCTTGGTCCTGACTGCTCCACTTGACATACTCACCGCGCTCTTGAAGTTCTTATACAAAGCATAGACTCTGAAATAATACTTTTCGTTTGGCTTAAGACCAATCACTGTGGCCGTTGTATCGCTTAAAGTGCAGTCTCGACCAATCAGACTTTCTGAACAGTACGCTTTTGTCCATGTGGTTTCCTCGCAGCATTTTACTTCCACGGTGTAATTAGAGATTACCGAGTTGGCTGACACCCATTTTAAGGAAACGGAATTACTTGAACTAGAAACGATTTCGAGTTGGAGAGGGAAACCTTGAACATAGAATAAAATAAAGAATTTTTCAGTTGGAATTATCACGTTAGCACTGAAAGAAAATGTTAGGGTCAGGCTCTTACCTAATTTCTTGGTTTCTATGGGCTCGGACACTTGACTAAACCCTTGAGACGAAGAAGCAAGTCTGACGAAGTACGCATGCCCAGGACTCAAACCAGTCAGAGTGACAATCCTACTCAGGTTTGTCACAACACAAGTGTTTTTAACTGTGCTTTGAATGCATCTTGTGTCACGCCATGTTGCAGTAGTGTTTGACCATATTTGCACTGTATATGAAATATCTGTAACGCGGACTGGTTGAAATTTTATCGTGATGGTGTCCAGGCCACTTGAAATTAATTGTGGTCTTGCTAAAAAATACAAGTGAAAACACAAGAAAATAAATAGTACCCCTTAATTAGTGGTGACCAGAAGAAAACACCAAAGGACAATTTGTAGAAGCAGTACGTATATTTATTGATGGAAAAAATTTAAAGTTCGTAATGCTAAATTAACGTTCTTCAATATCCGTACTACCACGTAGTTACCATATACTAACTGAATAACGTCCACTTTTCACTACTTCGTCATGTTTTATAACATTTGAACATTCCCGGCTTTCAATGGGCCACTTCCGAGTTCCAAAAACCCTCACTTTCAAAATGAGGCCAAGTGCACAACCTTTCTTGTGAAAATGAGTTTTAATTGCATGAGAATGAAAAATCACTTCCATATCAAAGGCTGAGCACTTCAGTGTTGCCTTTTTATCTACACTTAGTGGACGACAACGAAGCAGTTAACTTGGCCGTTATTAAGTTCTCAGTTGAAACCATCATGCGTTGATTATTTTGAGAAATCAGAAAAAAAGGAAAGGCAGGGCCCATTTTAAATGTCTGTTTTACCGAAGTGTCCTTTAATAGAAAGCCGACTGGCTTAAGTTTGCCCTACAGGGGCGGATCTAGGGGGAGGGGGCAGGGGGTGCGCACCCCCCCCCCACCCCTGAGATGACCTGCGGTTCTCTAATACAACTGGTATTCTGCCAAAAAAAAAACAATGTGGTTTATCCTGAATCCGCCCCTGCCCTAATATGATAAGACCCGCATTGCAGTTCTGATTATTGTTTATCATTATTAACCAACCTTGATCAAAACACGTGACACCTGCAGCTCGATTTTCGGCACAACTGTTTTCTCCCCATCCATCATGGGCACACTCAGAAAGAGAGGTCTCGTTTCCGATGCATCGCACTCCACTTAGCCACACGGTATTGTTTGCTTGATTGACAATGGTGAGATTTACACTGTATGCAGAGGCTCCTGCATATCCCAGGGACTGACAAACAACTTCGGCATCGGAGATATCCCATCCTGTACCACAGACTAAGCTCCAGACCCCAGAGAAGAAAGCTTCAACTCGGCCTTCTCTTGCATTTGGTCCTCCCACTAAACGAACTGAAAATGAACTTTAATATTTTTTTTTGTACCTTCACTTGTGTTAACTGAAAGCAATAGCCATTGAGGATTTTGTATTCTGGTTTTACGTTTGGTCTGTGGATGAAGCGTGACCAAGCTACTGACAACTACTTTCCTGTGGTGATGTTCATCACCCTGTACAAGCTCGGTCTAACCGGCGGGGTCTAACCTTTTTAGTCTATGAGTAAAAACCTATGATGAAACCGTTCAAATGACAGCTTGTGAGCTTTTCCGTGGTACAGATCTAGACGCTTAATTATGCTGTGCAACGTTACCCTTTTCGGCCCTGCGCTGTTTCGGCCCTGCCCTGTTTATAATCCTTTCCGTATAAGTCAGAGTACAAAGTTTTTCTAACTTTTGTGATACTAAACACTAAAACAGGTGGCCATTCAGTTCTTTTTGAGTTAGTCCCTTTGCCAGAGGACTCCGTTTGTTTCGCTAACAAAAGGGTGGAAAGAAAGTCGGATTGCGCCTGCGGTCTGAATGCAAGGTGTTTTGACAAGCACCAGTGTTATGACTATCGCGTTCGATGAAGAAGAAGACATCCTAGTCTACGCTTAATAGTGTGGACGGCTTCATCTCTCAACCCTTTTGCGTTTTTTACGGGCATCCTCGGCCGAGAACTGGCTACCGCACGGCCTTAACGAGCGAGTCTCCCTAAACAACCGGAAGGTTACCTACCGGTTTGTTGTGCCAAAGCATTCAAAAGCAAGACTCCTATTAAAAAGAAAACAAAACAGAAACAGGCATTTAAAAGAGGTATAGTAAAAGAAAGATCAGAATCATGTTTACACTTTCATGTGATAAGGACACACAGGAAGGCCGCCGCTACAAATAACCCGCTACCTAAGTCAATATGTCTTCTGTGGGTTTTAGACGAAAGGATAGCGACTAAATACCGAAGGGGGACTTTTCCTTGATATTTAAGGAGAACTTGTCTTAGAGAAGAGCCAAAATTTTTATCCTGACACTTGCCTTAGAGAAATCCCTCATCCAAGCACAGGAAATAACGACAACAAAAAAACAGAATAGATGAAAATAATGATAATAATAATAATAATAATAACTAATACATAAAACTGTTTTTGACTTATTAGGTTTACGAAAAATGTCATTAATTGAAAACGAAGATGGTTGAATTGTAGCGTTTTATTCACATAATTATAAGTTAATTTCGCGTCACGGGTGAAGTAGTCTGATTGCTAATTATTCATGCGATTTATTATCTAAAACGATTAATATATACTAGAACTGAGTATTATGCGATTGTGATCAACACAGTACAGTGGCTTAAAAACGCGAATTTCTTTTGTAGACACCTTGAGCTTAACTAACTAACTAACTCAAATCAGTGTTATTAAGATACTACAAGTTTCGTCGGTGACCTCTGATTGTGATGGACAATTAAGTTATTTCATATCCTGTTCCACAATGTACCCTTCTTAATTGCATTCTGCTAATCTCGTGCATATGCACCCAATTCTGGTAATTATTAACTTACGAGCACACATCAAAGGTATTTTTTGTCGCCTAAACAGTGAGGATTAAATTGAAACAAACTACAAGGCATAATGCCTTTATCTTCTAAAGTCAAAGATCTGCTTTGTCAAATTATGCATCCCAAGCTTGTGTTGTCAAGAGAGACAACTTTGCGGGAAGATTGTTATTAACCTCGGCATAATTACCAACCATTTATTAAGTTGTTTTGGGCTGTTTTGTTCCCCTTTGTGGCGCTTTTTATCTAAGCAACGTTGGAAGGAAAAACGAACGATTTGGATTCAAAGCAATTCACCTGTAATCAACACAGTGTTTCAAGTCCACGATTTAGAGACACTATGTAATTAGAAGATTAAACACCCTTATATTGGATATTTGTAAACATATCGAGCGGGGGGTTGATTGTGCCAAAAAGCTAAGGTTTCGACATCCTTTGACACGTCTGGTTGTTACAAAATAGATTGTCTTACCTGAGAGCATAACAAACTGAATTGTCCTTTTGCCGTCCATTGCTCAGGAATTTACTCTGTTTACTATGAGCCAACGCCAATGTTGACTTGACATCGTTAGATATTCTACTACATTTGCATTTGTCACTTACAGATGACGTATTAAATTCAGCGATCAGCTTTTGATTTCATTAAAGACAACAAAGGTTGGAGAGATTATTCCATCCATTCCCAGGGGGTCCAGTGAGTCAAAATTTTGTACCAATCTTGTTGGATGTGAAGAGGATCATAAAAGGGCTAACAGTAAAATCGTTAAGAGACAAAACAGAAGATCAACTTAATTTACAGCATCACCTGTTTTAAAAGGATTTTTTTTAACAGCAGCTGGTTTTTATAGGTTTTCGGGTAGTTTTTGCTTAGTGTCACACAAACGTACCCTCATTTGTATTTCTTTAATACTGTACCTTCATTTCTAAAATTCTTATATTTACCCATCAAAGCAAAAATAGCTCCAAATATCCCATAAAAGATCATATCAAACCTATGTATATTGGAAACATATGGATAATGAATTTGATTTGATTTACTGTTATCATGAACAACGCAGCTCTCACATTGTTTTTGTCTTCCGGGATGTCTGTTCCATTATTTGCCAAGAAAGTATTATTTCCCATGAGTGTAAAATCGCCAAATCAAAACTTCTTAACATTCAGACTCACAACGATTAAAATGAAGGCTGACTTTAAGAGAAAATCCAACCGAATTGCCACAAGACAACTTGACACTACACACAAGCGTAAAGCAACACGTCAAATTCGACAATATTTAATAACGCTTCTTTCAGCTCTCTACATCTACTGATCTACACGACTGAAATTAGGCTCGAGATTGTTGCAAGTAGAATATATGTGACGCACACTCTTTCTATGTATATTTAAGTTAACCTGTTCGCTTTTTCGCCTAACTTGCTGATTCGTAAAACTCCGCCTGTTGGCTGCTTTCCTTCACATTTGGCAACAAGCGAATAGAAAATTTATACAACGTACTTTCTACAAATTGTTAATTAAAAGGCTTTTATGTCTCTGTTGCAATATACAGTGTGTGCGTTTCCGTCTTCTTTGCTCGTCGCCCTGTTCCAGACCCTCTCGGCGTTAACCAAAAGGTTCCTCGTTTAAGAGGTGCTGCAAAGGTAAGGGAGACAGAACAGTTCGAAATATGAAAATAATATATGACAACTGAGGGATGAAGAATTAAAGATAATGAAAATCATCGCAGTTGCAGACGTAACTTTTGCAAAAGCGAAAAGAATAAGACTTTGGTACTTAAAGGTTAAATTAGAGCAGTTTTCTAAGACTTCAAAGCACAAGAGCTGCCGAACAACTGGGGAAAAAAAAAGGTCTTTCTGTGCTGCCCACAGCTGGATCATTGCGCCCTTTGAAAGCATCACCAAGTAGAATGGTATGGCGGTCCCGTATTCAGCCAGCATAGTGGTTCAAATAACAGTATCGTAAAAAGTAATGGGTGTGAACATAAAGCTTCCTATTTAGTGGATATCCCTTAGGACAAATGGAACGGCATCATGCTAAAATAAAGGACCGATCAGCTGAATCCTCCAGTCAGTAGTGAGCCTCTGAATGGTTACCTGCGGACATCGATTTCGTCCTGCGTTTTCCATCAAATCGTCGGTGTTTCGGGGAAAATCGTCCCATGATCGAGAATTGTTTTGCGTGGTAACGGTACTAGCGAAATCAGCGCAACCACAACAACGACGGAAACGAGAAACTGATAAGCAAAACAAACACTATGAAAATGTTGTACACTTTTTGCAGGTTTCTTTGCCGTTATCACACCGCTGACGTTGTCAAATTTGATTGCCGATGGCAATGCAATCGGCGCTTTAATCCGTCGTAAATCGTCGCTTCATCAATGGCGATCGTCGCGACTTCCGGTAACCTTACAGTGGCTCAGTAGTCACACGGTCACTAGAACCCCGGGTCACGTGCGCCACCTTATTACTCATAAGCAAAGGCCATGCAACACACAAACCTTTCATAGATTGGGTTACTCGCAACCTGGCTCGGTTTCGGTTCTAGAGTGTCGTATACTGGTGCTCCTCTGTAAAGTGTTTGGTATTGTTCGTCTGGTTGTCCGCAGGCTTCTCTCCTATCCATGGTGTTCGGATTTAGTGAAGAGTATAGTTCGAAGGCTTCTGGACACTCATCGTTAGCTATACTGATGAAAGCACTACGAAGAAAACAGCAAACTGGATGGTTTTAAAATTTATTTAAAGACATTCAAGCGAATATAATAAAAAAGAATACTGTCGGTGTAATGTTAACTCTCATCAGTCTCTTTCGAAGTCAAGACCTTAGAAAAACTGCAATGCGAGAGGAGATTTTTCTGAGCAAAAAGCCAAAAAACATTGGATAGTTAAGGAAAGTCTGGGCTAAAAAAAATTCAAATACCATTATATCGTCAGAATTTACGAATGACAACTCATTAATAAAGGGTTTTTTGTCTATCATCAGAAGTAAATTCGCAACTAATTTATTTTGAAATCAGGCACTTTAACTTCAAAATCGTGTCCCAGAACAAAACACATCACATCATTTTGACACAGAACTAGTGTTAGAAACGCTACATTCACATTAGGTACTTTCACACCGACTCTGCATTACTGTTTCCTTAGAGAGACTGAAGTTTTCTTAATCAGTCATGAGTTATGAGTTTTATCTTCGGAAATAGCAAGTTTCGCTTGATTCTTGTTCATGACTAGCGTGTGCGACTGCATAATAATAAACCTCGAAGTGTGGTACTTAACCAAGGCCGCAGGAAGTTGGAGCGAGTGGCCCCAATCTTCCTCAGTAATCTGAAACAGCTGATCAAAGATGGCGGCCACCGGAACAGCTTTCTCCCGCCCTGAAACGCTTGCATTCCACAAGCATTATCAGCACTAGAAATGTCCATGGCTGACAAGCTTACAATTCTTACGAAGGAAAGTTTTATGGTTTGTGTTTTGCAAACCTGCATAAGGTGGGTAAGTTAAGCAACGTCTAAATATGGGAAATTTATTACATAAATTCGACTTCAAGTTAAATTGCCGGTCACAGGTCACAAGGGCGGGTCACTACTCTATTAATAAATAACTGAGATAAGCGGTTTCCCTTTCAGCTAAAACTCTATATTTCAGATTGTAGTTAGGGCAAGGAGACGTTTTTAATGTTGTTTATTTACCGTATAGTAGCATGGTGTCCTGTACTCTAACCTGAGTTGTGACCTGTGACCTGTGACCTTCTTTTTGTATCTGCCGACTATGAAAACTAGTCCATTACCACCCTACAGTATCATACACCCATTAATAACAAAGATAGGATTTCTGCTCAGGCCCATAGTCATCTATTATGAATGCATGCTGAGACTGTTAATAGTAGCTATGGATTTGTAAGATTGCTGCATACATGGTAATTATTATGATATTAAGTGTATGGGGCTGTATGGAAATCTTACCATTACAAGGTCTGTTCTGTTAATGTTAGCCACATTTAAATTTACTCAAATTTAGGTTCTCACCGTTCATAGCATGGGTTTCCAACTGATAGTGGTGGCCTGCCTGTTGACCTAAAAGTCAATATAGTGTTGATACAATATTATTTAGGTACATTGCAGCTAAATAGTCACATGGTGCAAAAACCTTTCTGGTCCTAATAATTGTTGAAATGTTCGATAGCTGTATCCAGTGGATAAATATTAGGGAAACCAATTATGTTATCCACTGGATAGAGATTTATCCAGAGGATAGCATTAACCATCTTTTGAACAAATGAGGCCTGGAAGGCAAGGAGACAGTGGGACTGTGCTTCACCACAGCACAAGAGGTTGTTTGTCTAATTTGACCATTTAGCTGCAAATGGCCCATTACAGAAGGTAACTTGTTACACTGATCATCACAACATAAATAATGTCCTTAGTGTACTTTGATGAAAGAAACTCCCAAACAGTAGATTATTTTTAGTTTAAAACTCAGTCAGCCATGTTTCTCTTACTTGAGTATTAGTGTGTCATTCATGATTTAGGGGAATACAGACTTTAAAGGATGAACCAAGGTGGGGAGAAGGGAGGGAGCTTTCACCATAGGCAGATTTAGGGTTTGGTCGGCGTGACCAAAGCCACCGCTTTCTGTGTGAAATTTTGTACTATTTTTAAAGAATTCTCACTGAAATAAGTAGCTGCCAAGTATCCCAGCCTCCTTTTCTGAATTTTCCAGATCTGCCCCTGCTGCCCTTCTTTGTCCTCCCCTTATTGCTTCAGTCTTCCCAGCACTAGGGCTGTTTAAAATTAAGATTGCTCATTGTGCAAGACAACCTTAAGATGTCTCTGTCCTCTGATTTTAAGGCTCTGAACCCACTTTTTCGAATGCCAGTTGGCCCTAACCCAGGGTTAAATTTTAACCCAGGCTTCTTTTTCTTTTCATCAAAAGCACTCTCTCAGATAATTTTCAATATTCTTTTTAAAGTATCCAATCATCAAAATATAGGCGAAGAGAATTAAACTGAATTTGCTTTTAAGGCTCTCATGTTTGAGTTCAAATTTTGCACTAACCTTGGGTTATCTTAACCCATGCAGTTTCAAACAAACCTGGCGCAGGACTAGTCATAATCCTTACCTATCAGTAGAGGGATTGTCAGGTGCTGTTTGTGGGCTAGAAATCAAAACGGTAGAAATAGGTAAGTAAAAACAATGAAATAATTTTTTACTGCTTTACTATACTTTAATCTGTTACGATTTTTTTGGTTTTGTTTTGCTGATACATCAGTTACTTTGGGTGTTACTCATAACTGTTATTGCTCACAAGTACATGTCCTTTAGTCAAAGTCAGAGCTAATCAATTAAGTGGTTAGAAGTGGGTTCTCTATCCTACTCTTCAAAGGGAAGCAAACTTGCTAAAATGTGCATGCTGAAATGTTTCAAATGTTAGTCCAGTTTCTAATTCGTTACGGCCGCTGAATAGTGGATTCACCCCTGCTCTACCTTCACTATCCATCCAATTTTTGCTTCAGTCTTCTCACCTCTAGGGCTGTTTAGAATTGGGATCACTCATTGTGCAAGACAATCTTAAGATGTCTCTGTTCCCTGATTTTAAGGCTCTGGACTGTTCATAATCCTTACCTATCAGTAGAGGGATTGTCATGTGCCGTCTGCGGGCTGGAAATTGACATGGTAGAAATAGGTAAGTAAAAACAATGGAATAAATTTTACTGCTTTACTATGCTTTTTTTCTGTTATGATTTTTTTGGTTTTATTTTGCCGATACATCAGTTACTTCAATTGTTACTCATAGCTGTTATTGCCCACGAGTACATGTCCTTTAGTCATATAGCCATCAAAGCTAGTCAATTAAGTGCTTAGTAGTGGGTCTTCTATCCTGCTCTTTAAAGGGAAGCAAACCTGCTAATTAAAAATATGCCTGCTGAAATGTTTCAAATAATACTCCAGTTTCGAATTCGTTGTGGCAGCTGAATAGTGGATTCACCCTACTCTTCCTTTGCTACCCCCCCCCCACTTTTTGCTTCTTTCTTTTCAGCACTAAGGCCATTGAAAAATGAGATTGCTCATAGTGCAAGACAACCTTGAAATGTCTCTGTCCTCTGATTTTAAAGCTCTGAACTGTTCATAATCCTTACCTATCAGTAGAGGGATTGTCATGTGTCAGCTGCGGGCTGCAAATCAAAATGGTAGAAATATGTAAGTAAAAACAATGAAATAAATTTTTACTACTTTACTATGCTTTAATCGGTGATGATTTTTGTTTTTTTTTTGCTGATACATCAGTTGGTTCAGATGTTATTCATATTATATTATTTGTCCAGGATTGCTTAAGTCATGGTCGAGAAAGTGGTTTGAAGTGGGTACACTACCCTGCTCTTTAAAGGGAAGCAAATCTGCCAGAATATGCCTACTTAAAATGTTTCAAATGATAGTCCAGTTTAGAATTCGTCACAGCCGCTGAATAGAACCACTGAAGACTCATTTATACAGGGTTTGCCTCGACCATAGGTAAATATTATAATCACAAATTCCAGTCAGAAGAAGAAGGTATTTATGAATATTTACTTTAGGTCGAGGCTAACCGTGTATAAATGAGTCTTCAGTGCTTCTATTCAGCGGGCGCACGAATTCGAAACTGAACTAATTAATTCATTCCCTTTTATTATTTTGAGATTACCTCATATAAATAACGTTTGGCGTATCCTTGTCTAGTTTTGTGCTTCCTCTCCTGTATAATAAACAAATCATTTTTGTAAATTTTGCTGTCGAAGAACAAATTTAAACAGTACTTTCATTGACGATTCATTAATATGTGAATCAACGATATCTTATACTACTGTAATGAAAGTCTGTTTATTTGACACATAATTGAAACACATTATTGAATCAAAGGTGTCATTTGATGGACAAAAAGACGAAATCATAAAGTCATCGAACGTGCATCAACTAGGTTATTGGTTAATTAACCAAGTTCTGTTGCAATTACAAAACAATGAACTTCATAGCCTACTTGATTCATTTTTCACTGCTCTCTAGGCAACATTACTTTAACTTGTCTTTGGTAAATTACAAGTACCTTTTATAATAAATAAACCCAGCCAGAACCAGCAAAACCAGGATGATTAAAACCACAACGGGAACTACAACAGCTACCACATTTACACCTGTCGGGAAAAGGATATTATTTTTTAGCGTTTAAATGAGTTTTGATTATATCGGCTTAAACCTAGAGCTTCTAGCAGAACAAACACACAGAACCACTTGTAATCCTTGTTAATATCAACACAAACATTGCACGGTAAATTAATGTGAACATGAAAACTATTGGGATCAATAGGAAGAGGCGTATATCAATAAACTTACAAGAAATACGTGTATATATAAATCACATTTTATGGCAGAAATCTACAATATTAACAGGAAGACCTAGGGATTTCTTACCTTTTTCTTTACTTTCTTCCCTTTTACCTCTCCTTGCACCTGCCTTTGTTGTTGTAGATTGTTCGCTAGTTGTGCTCTTCTTTAGTGATGTTTCTGTCGTTGTTGTAGGGGACAAGGTCGAGGCAGCAGTGGTCGCTTCTGCTTAAGACGAGAGACTTGTTTAATCACTTTTTTCCGAACACTTATTTTTTATTTTAAGGGTTTATACAATTTAAAGAAATGCGCGATCTATAATCTTTCTGTAATACCTATACACCTAATTGCAATAACGTTGTCATAGAACAAAAAAAAAAAAAAAAAAAAAAAAAAAGCCAAATAGCAATAAATTAGCCATGTGATTTACATTTGCGTATTTTTATTCAGTATTTAACAATTATTTAAGAATTCATTCACAAGAGCAAGAGATAATTCTGTAATTCCGCGCTGTAAGATAGACAGGCGCCATAGTCATTTTAGAGCCAACATTCTCCATCAAAAGAAGTCGCACAATTCGACAAAGAAAAAGGTAAATTGACGCGAGCAATGTTATGTCTCAGTTGTCGCACGTTCGGTCGCCAATCTATTATGTCCTGACAAACGAAGCTTGGTTTGTGGTTCAGGTGAGGAACTGGCGGAGGACCCCCTCACCCTCTCCGTGCTGAAAAGTCCTACCTACGCCCCTGATTTGTTGCTTGAAAATTGTGATCAGATGGTTTTGTGCAGTGCAAACCATACGCAGACTGGCTTTTCTATTTAGCACTAATCTTAAACACGCGTTGAGTTCCCGGAATTTACCCCAGGCTATATTTATTGAAAAAAAATGGAGCCATTATTTCTTTGGTATTTATCCGATGTGCTTTGTAATTAGAGCACATTTGAAATTCGCTAGATGATTCAGCCTTCAATGGCATCAGAATGACACTAAGAAACTGATGAAAATGATTTCTCTCATATTACGTGATTAATATACAGCCGTAAGCGTGTGTGTTGTGAATGTTGCAAGCTATGTTAATTACATGCTAATTAATTCCTATTTAACTTTTTGCCTTTTGCTTTTTTCTATGACAACCTTATTGCAATTAGGTGTATTTCTCTATAGAGAGATCATTAACTTCCTTAAAGCACATGCCCAACGTCAGGGGGGAGGGGGTACCACGCGGGGTACCCGCGTCAAATTAGACCGAGCGCACATCAAGTCAACGAAAAACAACTTCTCAAGTTAACAAAAATCGTTAACTAGACACGGAACTCTCGGTTGTAGTTTGACCCTTTACACCCTAGGATCAAAATTTGAATTCTTATTTGCTGCCCCTATTCATTTCCTACAGAAATAGTGGGCAGAAGACGTTGATAAAATATCAAGCAAATTGATCGTGGGTGATCATGTCCATAATTCTCATGACCACTCTGTTTTACAAAGCATTAATATTACAAGGAGAAATTTGATGCTGATCACTCTTAAGGGCTTAAGGTTAACGTAACACACACAGGACCGGGCTGATTTGCCGAAGCACACGTTAAGTCAGAACTAACTCATACGAGAGCACCACTGGTCAACCGATAATTTGACTAACAATAAACGACTGTTAAGCTCTGGCCTTGGCCGGGTCGAAACGCATCAATAACATTTTGAGTTTTCATAGCTAATAACATCACGGCTAAACTGACAGACAACCAATAATACCGCGACTTTATTGACCAATCAGGTCAATAACCTGCAGAGTTTAATACCATCAACTGACGTGATACAACTCACTGTCACTTTGAAGATGACTACCGCACAGGTTGTCGAAACTTCAGTCACTGTCATCAACAGTCCTTTTCAGGACTACATTCACCTGGACGATCACGCTTCACCTACTTATGAAATGCCGACTCCTGGGTCGGGTTGCAAAAAACATCTTAAGATTAAGGGAGCTCTTAACTATTATTTCAAAACAATAGGTTATTGTTCCAGAACAAAAGTCAAGAGCCGTCTTAACTTATGAAGGTTTTATGCAACCTGGCCCTGGGCTTAAACCTTTCACAGTTTCACAACATACTATTTAGTGGGCAAAAAACAAAAAAAAGAATCACAATATACAAGCTCGAACATCACTTACCTGGACATTTATTCTCGCAGTACAAAGCGCTGAAGCCGGTGAAGGACATATTCCTATCTGACTTAAATATTACAAATATTTCATTTGACGTAGAGTTAATTCCTCCTTTAGGTGGAGTGTCTCCATAAAACACTCCCAGTTCCTTACTCTTTTCACTCGGACCATCGTACACGTATAACGCATCCGTGTTATTCTCGTTTTGTAACCTGAATTCCGTGAACATTAAGTGAATTCGCTGGGATGGACTGACTGTGATATTCCACGAGCAGTATTGTCCATCCGGGTACTTTTCTGGATAGTTTGGTGAGTGAAACGTTCCATTGGTTCCACCCAAGGATTTATTGCACCCTACAAAAGTTTGAATATAAAACAAATATAAGTCGTAGTCTAACGAGGAGTTGATTAAATCGAAATAATGCAGTGATTAATCTTCCCAAACGGCCTCGACAGCGCGATTAATTAAACTACTATAGTTACAATTTCATAGCTGTTTTGCACTCTTTGAGTCAATAAATCGTAATTGTCACAAAATATCAAAAAGATTAGGATAGGACAAGAGAGAATGAGCTCATTCTCTCTTGGATCGGAGTTACGAGGGAAGTCAATCGGGTTGTTCTTGTCGCCGTCTGGTGTGCCGTTAAAATTGAAACAATTAAACTAAAATTCCGCTAATGAAAAGTCCAGCTTGTAATCAAGAACTATTATTGTCAATTTGGGCTTGGAAAAATGAAAATTTAGCTCAAAAAGGAGGTTACAGACTAAAGAAAAACGTCAGAAACCAGAAACAGTGTTTATCCAGCTTCTTCACATTATTATCAGTTTTCCAAGAGAGTTGAAATTAAGACACGTGTTAGAACATTTTTGACTAAGTAGGAGATTTCGGATATAATAGGATGAAAAACTGTTTCGAGTGAAAATGATTTTGAAGGAGGAATGAAGGATTAGCGAAACCAAGGGACAGGACTGGATACTTTAAAAAGAAAACAAATGATAATAGAAGCAAAAGAACTTCTTAGCTGTTTAATTCCCTGTTTACTAATTACTCATACCAGGAAATTCAAATCTCATTGACCCCCCCCCTTAAAAGAATCTCACTTGAGATATCTGAAAGACGTGAGTTTTATGATGTACTGACCACGATAATAGCAGTAATAAATTCTAGGATTCTTTTTTCCAGCATCGAAAGGAAATGTTCCGACTGCTTTATCCTTATTGTTTTCGTCCTCTGTATCATAGTAGATCCACTCCGGTGTCACAATCGCCCATTTGACCATTTGACATTCATTTGATCCGTAAGCCAAGAGGAAAAACGAGAGTTCAGTAGGAAGGATGATAGGTTCTTTTTTGTTACCGTCTGTTCTACAGCAAAATCTAATCTGTGTGTCACCATTGCTTTTATCGAGGCCACCAGGAAGCGTTCCACCTTTTGCGTTCGTGTTTGAAGAGTTTTCATCATCCCAGTATACTGCACCATTTTTCTTTAGATTTTTAGGGCAATTGCGCTTTTTATAAATACAGTATTGACCTGAAGGGAGTATAAAAAGTATAACTTAGATACTTAGTTGTTGCTCAATCCGTCAGTGGTATTTTTGCTGTGCTGGCTGTTGTTTGGCTTTTGTTATGCTCTTTCTTCTTTGTAATATGTGTAAAATTTTCCGCCATTCTCACCCACGTGAGCTTAGGCAACTTCTGCCCCAGGGCTACTCAGTTGAAGTCCCTTTTTTGTCGTAACAACGTACTCTGAGGATATTGCCCTAAACAGGGTCAGGGTTTACATTGTAAACCCTCAGCGACTCACCGACGATATATCTCAAATATTGGTCTAGTACCCCCCCCCCCCCACCCCCGGGACAACTAGCTCAGGTCCTAGATTAAAATAAGAACAAACCTTTAGGCCAGGCGTGTCTAACGGAGTCGTTGACTATATTTTCTTTGATGCAAAATGACCTGTTAACCATCGTGTTGTCTACTTTCCCGTCGAGGTGAAATTCTGCTGAACATGAATTGTTTAATTTTCTGCCATTACTGCCTTGGGATCTCCATCCTTCCAGCCAATGAAAGTCGTCCGTCTTCGGACACCCAGATTTAGGTTTTGGTATCCCGTATGTACCCGCTGGCCAGCTTAAAGAGGACTCTGAAAAAAATCCAGTGTTCGTCTTTATTCAACCTTTATTGAAATATTTTGTTGCTCTGTAAAAGGGGTACCATGGAGCGACGACATAAACAGAGATTTAGAAGGTAACACAATAAATTTAGTAAACATACGACAACGGTAAACAAAATACGAAAATTATAAATGACAACGATGATGAGGTAGATGACAAGAGTGAAAAAAAAATCACCGTTTTCTGAAAAAAGGCAAATCACTGACTCTTCCCAGTCATTTCTGAACAACTTGACCACACATGCGTCCCATTTTGTGCAAGACGCATTAACGTCTGAGACGCTAAAAGTCGTCTGTTAAGTGTGCATGCGTCCTGTACTTCTGGTGCGTCTGAACGACGCACTTAAACAGAAGGCATTAAAGTCGTCAGACGTTAAATGCATCTGTCTCTTTTTACCGTTTTCATACGAGACGTTAAGGTCGTCTTACGATAGCTAATAAGTCAGTTTTGATTTCCCACTACTGTCGGCCGTCGAAGACACGAAAAGTAAAACTTTTTATATCCTTTTCACCGCGTTTGATCAAGTTTCAACGTAATTGTTGGGACACAATTTCACACTCGATCGAAGAGGCACAGCCAATAGAAGCCAGGCTAAATAGTTATGAATTTTTAAGGACAACTCAGACTATAGAGAAAGCAAACAAACGAAACAAAGATAAAAAGCAGCGAAGGTCGAAAATAAGGTCACGACTTTTAAAACACCTCGAACACTACCACTCTCACTCCCCTCCCTCGCTGACCTGGGGAGAGTTAACAAATAGTGGAATTAAAAAAATTCAATCTCTTAAGTCGTTACTCTGAGTGCTTATTCTGTATTCTTTACCACTACATATTAAAAACAGACGAAAAACTTAAGCATCCCGATCCTAAAAAAGAAAAACATTCCTGACAACCAATTTATCCGGATAATAAGTCACCCAAGACTTCCGTTATGTTAGACATTTTTTGTCACACAAAGCCGTAGCAAACAAGGATGTCCCGAATCCTTATAAGAAGTAAATAACAAACAGAAGGAAAGAATTAAATAGGTCTCCTGACACAAGAACGAAAATCCCGTACACTGGGCTGCTCTTTATTGAGTGTGAAGTAATCATCGCGCTATACATAATGCGTTGGTCGGACGTTTTTCGTAGAAGAAAACGTGTTTTGTCATGATCTGTCCCTTCTGCCATTTTGCGGCCAAATTAGATCATATTATAATAACGTCTAGAATAGAGTATTTTCTATGACAATTGACTGGCACAATAAATGTTGATATTGAGATAAGCTAGTAGATGGTAACACCGAAAGTGGAAATAACGCTTGAATTAACATTCTATGAAATCTACTTGTCGTTACAAAGAAAATCCGCTACATACCTGAAGGTTTTAAACACTGAATAAGGCTGATAAATCCTAAAATGTCCCTTAGCAGCATTTCATAAGCTTTTACATTCGATACAAGACACCGAAAGAAGCGAAACAGGCGAAATAACATTAAAGATCTGAAGATGCCCTGATTCACTTCCTGTCAACTACAGCAGTAAGATTGCGTTACGGTTAATTGATAACTGATGAGTGAGCTGCTATAAATATTTAGCCTCTGGACCAGAGAGGTAGATAGTTGGCTTACGGTTCGTACCCCAGGCATTAAGTGGCAAAAGGCAAGGTGGAGAGGTGGGCGAACGCTTGGACAAATATTCGTATGGCCATTTTATAAATGAAGATTAGACCAGCCAGTGTGTTACGGGTTTGGAGAGGGGGGGTTGGGATTTTCGGTTTTGGCCATTTTTAGGTCGGTTTTAGGTAGGTAACAGTGGTGGCGTCGAGAAATGTCGGCTGTTTTCTCAGGTTACGTACTGTATAGCCTAATGAACCGTCTCTAGCCCCTGCTAGCCTCTACGATATTGTTGGTTTTCACATGACGTCACTAAAATTCAAACAAAAAGCTATCGATCCTACCGAGATTTTACTTTCACGATGCATAAGAGCAGCTGAAAACTAATTTTCATATAAATTTTCCCTTCAAAAGGGTTCTTGGTTTTGTGGTAGAGTACACTTGAATTTACATGACGGCCAAGAGAGCTGTTATGTGGGTTAAAGAAATGACTCATATCAGGAAATTTTGCTATCTAAAGAGTTCATGTATTAGAAAAAGTATTACTTTAATGTTTATGAGTTTCTCGAAGAATAAATTCACGCTTTCGTAGCAAAACTCGGTAACAGATGTTTCTGTTGGTTTCCGTCCTCCACTGGGTTGGAGCTCATCCAGGTGAACACCAGCATGACGTCTCCATACAAATCTCTATAAGTTTGGGTAAAATATTTCTTCGGATATCTCGTATACGAAATATTCCTCTGACCTGAATCTTGGAGAGGGTCTTCGTATATGTACCTCCTTTCATTTCCCAGATTCTGGACTTTATCTGTGGAACGGTTTTGATTTTTTTGATTTGATCTATTTTGAATGGCGTGACACCGAAAACCAGTAATAGTAAGGACGTCGCAGATTTCAAGGGAAAATAGGACGTGATCCGGAAAAGTGGGCGGCGGCGGGACAGGAAGTGCAAGCCACGGATCGAGTGATCATCAGATTGCTTTTCCAAAAAATCATTTTATTTTATTTTCCTCTCGTGGTTTCACTTACTATCAAGAAATACCTAAACTTTATAAAATTCTGAAAATTGGTTTCGAGCGTTATGCGGCAAATTCGGCTTAGGAAATTTCGCACTCCCTCGCCTTATTAACGAAAAAATCTATCTTAAAGTTTACCAAACAGTAAGAGTAGATGCATCAAAGGGGTTATTAACTCATATGAGGGCACCCGCCTCTGGAGTTGGATTTGACTAAATTCATTAATTGATAAAATTAAAATAACAGTCTAGTGGAACATATGCTACCAAGATTTCGCTAACGTTTTTCAGTACAGGGTACGGGTATATTTTGTAGGATAGCTTTTCGTGGTGCCACAAAAAGCCATATGGTATAGCATCAACAGCAACGGCCCGGTGCGGCCCCAAAGTCCGGGTTCACACACATCAAACATCGCGCCGGCGCGGTTGGCCGAGAGGGTTTGGTGCACTAAATTCGCCTCATTGGGTTCCAATCCTCGCTTTTACTTATTTACTTCCGCAACAGGCCGAATAGGTGTTCACACTGCACCAAAGTATGGCACAAAACCTATCCGGTATGTGATTCTCCACTTTCGAGATCGACGCGGCGCAACTTCTTTCCGTCGCAGAAATCGCGCCGCCACAACCGTTCTTGTGTGTGAACAGACGCCTTAAGCGGTATGATGTTCGGATCAATTTATGTCTCTGGGAAACTACTCACCTACCCCTCCCGTAAGCCGTTATTTTACTCCAAGCGAAAAGTGTTAATGTTAGCTTAGGGGCGAGGGAGTTGGGGGGCAGTTTCCCAGAAACCTAAATGGGCCCTGATTTTCTTGGCGAGGCAAAAGCCATCCGGTCTAGTGCGAACTTAGCCTTAGTGGCACCTTCACCTATCCCGTTGTCATGGTGACCGTTTGGGCGCCACGGACCTAGAACCCTTTCCCTTCATTTGATTTTTTTTTCAGCTTCTTTTAGAGCGACGCAAAACTTCAACCCTGTCCATTCAGAGATATTATTCTCCCAACGAACACACGACCACCACGAAGTGAACATATTACCCATGCTCGTCTCACGGACACCGCGCTTTAAATGTGAAGCACAGGACTTTAAAGACTCGGTTTGTCAATTTTCCTGCAACGTATTACTGCTGGCAATCTTGTTTCCTTTCTAACCTGCATAACAGACGCTTTATGAGCCAAACGAGGTGAACGCGGCATTTTGAGACGATCGTGAAGGGGAATACAAAATGAGGAGAAAAAATAAAGCTTTTAATATTTTTTTTCTCCTCCCCTCGTCTTGCGCTTCGTGCAAAATGCCACGTTCCCCTCGCTTGGCTCATAAACCGCCTGTTTCCATTCCGTGGTGATCATCCAATTCTATTTAAACTGGGCGTGGAACTACAAGAAAAAATGAAAAGTACATATCAGATAAAATAAATTAAATTAGGATTGTTTTATTGCAATTAAATAAGGGAATAAACACAATGAGGCCTACTCTGGGACCGTAAGTCGCCTCAAGTCGCCCAAAGTCGCGTTAAGTTGCCTAAAATCGCCTTATAGGACGCCTTTAGTCGCCTTAAGTTACTTTAAATCATTCAGGTTCAAATTGTCTCGTAGTTATTACTTTTTTAGTTTTCTATTTCGAGAATGCATGGTTTCTCATAAAGTGTGTAATAACCCATGTTCAATAATATTAGCCACAGACCCACCCCACCCCTCACAAAAAGAAAAAACTACCACGGTGACTTAAGACCCATTAATTTCTTCTCCAGCACTCTAATTTATACATTTAATTACTTTAGGCAATTTAATACTCGTAATAATGAGTCGTAAGCAATACAAGAATAATCATTCCTGTATTGTTTATGCAAAAATGACAACATACATGATGTATAGTACACAACTTTATCCAGTCACTTGTACAGGTATTTTATTACTTTCATTCGGGAGGTTTGTCTCATATTTCTGAGTAAAAGTGTAGTTTAAAAATGCATTCAAAGGTTCAAGTTCTAGCTAAATTATATTAAACAGCGTGCAAAGACAGTAGACAGAGTAGTGTCCAGGCAATAGCCCTGGGGTACTGATTGGGCTAGTGAACTGCGTTTTTGACTTGCCTGGCTGGCAAGTAAAGTTTTTTTAGGGAATTCAGATTACAGAAGAACTGTAATCAGTCCCATTCATAAAAAAAAATTGGGGTTAGTCAAAATGGCTTTCAGGCTAATGTATGCTAGGCAAGCTGTAAAGCTAACTTTCTTTGCACCGTGAACAAAATAGAATTAAAAAAAGTAAGTCTCTTTTCTACTGCTTTGTGAGAGTCCAACATTGGAAGACATTTCAAGTAACTAAGATCAATACAGATAGGTTACAGGGAGAAGAAAAAA